CATCTGTGTACTTCAACTACTTATTTTGAATTCCTATATTTTATCTAATCAATGCTTGCTTATTATATCCTGTCTATGTCTGTGATGTGTAGACTTCTTTCCGCCAAGGAAACCAGAGTGCACAGGAAACCGTTCCACCAAATAATATATTGTTTATTCAAAACTTGCCCCATGAAACCACTAGCATGATGTTGCAAGTGCTCTTCCAGCAATACCCAGGATTTAGGGAAGTCCGAATGATTGAGGCAAAGCCAGGTATTGCATTTGTGGAATTTGAAGATGATGTGCAATCCTCCATGGCCATGCAGGCCCTTCAAGGTTTCAAAATTACTCCCCAGAACCCTATGGCTATTACTTACGCCAAGAAGTAACCAACCCTTGTTTTAAAGCTAGTTCCTTTTTCACTTCTTGCCTCAAATGTTTCCCTTGGATATGATGATCGAAGAGTTCTATGCATACGGTAACCATGTAGATTCTCGATAACTAATTGTCGAATTTCATTTCCAATTTGTTTGATGTTCAATATCACAATTTGAAGTAATGCAATGAGAAGATCTGAATATGCTTTTCCAAGCGAATCTCCGTGACGTATTTTGAATTAGATGATCCCATATAATTGGCAAGTTCAGTTTTCCTTTATTTTCTACATTATATTTAGTTCTTCATTGCTGGCTGGATTGCACCAGCTGCGTAACTGTCACGGATTTTCTGTGCCTACTGATGTTTCACAACTCGTTGTTGAGACCATATCCAGTGATGTTGCCAAGTGGTGAGGGCAGCTGTCTGGTATATTGTTATCCGCTCCATTCATTGTTTATGCCAATCTGTCGATGTTTCCAATCGGTGAGGGCTCCAAGTCATTCAACTCTCTTTGTTTTTTTTTATTAAAACATGTATGACTTTATGTGCTGACAAAAGGCAACCTCCACTACATGGTTAAAAGCTGTTGTGCCTTTGGATTCTGATCTAACAAAATAGGAAACGAAATGGGAGCCCATTGAACTTTTTATAGTTGAAATTGATCTGAAATGAACAATTTTGGTTTCACGAATCCTTCATCCATTTCTCTTTAATCACTCCGCATTTTATATTTCTTATCTGTGGCGCTAGCAGATAAGAGACGAATGGCTTCGTGTAACAAGTCCATGATTTAGTTGGGGGGGTTCATTGCACACGTAAGATGTGGTCATCGGGCCTCTAATTCTAGGAACATTGTACTGAGTTGGATTGGGAGTACAGAAGACAGGTCATGTTTGATCTTCCATCTTAGCTAACTTGAGAAATGGAATTGAATCCAGTCATCTACAGTTCCTTTTCAGGGCTTTTTACTACAGGGGACGGAAGAAATTTGCACAGAGCCATGCTACATGGCTGAGATAGGCTTGATATGCTCCTCATTTGCAGCCGTTTCTGATGGAGGAGAGTTTTTTCTTTTACCATTATCCAACCCCTTTTGACTAAGCACGTTCCCTGCTTGGTGTCCTCTAATTTTTTGGCCTTGAGTAAAGTTAATCATCATAGGCTGGTGAGGCCTACAAGAAGCTGGGGAAAAAAGAACTCATACTTGTCTCTAGATGCGTTAAATCCCATTTGATATGTGAAGTCCCCGAGGTTGTTTCATGATTTATATATATTGAATTAGAAGAATAAAATTGTATCATGAGAACAACTCAACGGCTAAGATTTGATATTTGTTGTTAATGGCTCAAAGACTTCTATATTTCATCGTATATTTTTAAAAAAAAAAAAAAGATACATTTTTTGGTTCATTGCTATTGATTATAATTGTCCTTTTTCCGAAAAATGCTTGCTTTACAAATATATATCATGGCTCTAGCTTTAATATAATTATATTAAATTAAAATATTTATTAAATGAATCGAATTATACGAGTACGAGAATTGAGAATTATAACTAGTTATAAAACATGATATAAGAATTTATTTAGAGAAAGCTATGAATTACATGTTAGGAGAATTAACTAGAATTAATTTATTAATTTTTTTTAAATAATTAAAATGATATTATTATAAAATAAAATAAAAAGTCAACAAATTAAGGATTTAATATTAATTTAGGTTTTGAGTTAATTTGAATTTTTTACAATATTAAACCCCTGAGTATTTTAATTTATTTTTATAATTCAAGCTAGTTTAGATTTTAGATTACTCGAATCCTTAATCAATTTACTGAATTAATTTAAATTTTATAATATATATATAGTATTCAACATGTAAATTTTAGTAATTTTTTATTGTAAAATTTAAAATACAACCTTAAATATCTTTTACTAGAAAAAATAGAGAGAGAGAGAGGACTTCATCTATCCAAAGTACTAAAACAAATTACAAATTATAAAACTTGAACTGCATTCATCCTATTTGGAAAGTGATGCCCACGCTCTAGAATAGCGCGCGGGGAAGAAGAACGTACAAATAAAATGGTACGTCGATTGATGAGGTGGAGGGCAGGGATTTAAAAAGGCCGTACCATGTGAGGAGGCTGAATATGTCCTTGTCGTGCTTGCCTTCCTCAGATGCAAACTTCCCAAGGTAGAAAAAAACAAAACATGAATAAAAAATACATTGTTTATTAGAATTTAATTCGCCAATCTTTCTTTTCAATATCTATTTTAAAATTCCCTCGTATAAGTTAAGAATATGCATGCACATATAATTTATTTTCTATAAGCGATTTTGATTTGTTTATTTGGTAGGGACAGATTTTGGTAGTCGTGTTCTTCTTATCAATGCCTTTTTTCTTTCTTTCTTTCTCTAATTTCTCTTCTTTCTTCTTAAGTATCTTATTGCAATTGTTTTTTCATTGGTTTTCAGGTGAATCTATTGCATTCCAACATGGTTTCTAACTTGATTGGTTTTTATATGATTTTTATTGTATTTTTACTTTTGATTTTATACAAAATTATCATCAAACTCTCTATTCTATATATTTTTTCTTTATTTATTTTATTTATATATAAAAAGAAATAAATTTATATATTGTAGTGAAAAATCACTATTTAATCATTGAATTCTACCTAAACTTTAGCTCTCATTGAATTTTGATTCATAGTAATGAGAAGGCCTCTTTAGAAGCTAATAAATAAGAAAATATACTTTCACAATGTTTTTTTTATGTACATGTTTTGAAAAAAAAATAAAAGAGGAAAGTGAAATTTTTTATTATGAGAATAGAAAAAAATTTACTAGAAATTTCATAAATAAATCTTTGGTAAATCAAGCATAATGCCTCTATAAAAATCTAATTCAAACAATATTAAAGAAAGCTAAAAGGATATCTAAGCGAACTAAATGAGAAAACAAAACTATAAAATTAAAAAATAAATAAATAAAAGAAAAAAAATAAAACTAAAGCATGGAAAATAAAAAAGCTAATAGCATAGAAATTGTCGTCATTAACAAGGTTGGGTACAATATAAAAATAAAAGAAATTGAATTAGACTTTATCAATGATTAAGAAATTCAATCTAAATAGAGTTTTTTTTTATCAATTTTGTAATCTTTCACCATGAATTCTATAAAGATTTTAGTTCATGGTAATTTGATTATGAACTAAATGTAATTTTTTAAATTTTGTTGTATTCATTTCATGAGATTCTAGAATATTTTATTTAAATTATTGAGGTATTTATCAATTTTTGTTGTATGTATTATTGTATCTAATACCTTTGAATGTTTAATCACATTCAATGGAATTATTTTGCATGTATCTAATGCCCATGCATATTATTTGCTTATATATATATATATATAAAAGAGAGAAGATTTCGTATATCTAAAATACGAAAAAAAAATACAAATTATAAAACTTTAACGACATGCATACGCTCGAGAATAGCGTGTAGGGAAGAAGAACGTACAAATAAAATGGCACGTTGATTAATGAGGTGGAGGGCAGGGATTTAAAAAGGCCGTACCATGTGAGGAGGTTGAAAATGTCCTTGGCTTGCTTGCTTGCCTTCCTCACATGCAAACTTCCCCTAGTCCATCCTCTTTTATATCTTTTCTATCCCTTCCATAATTAGAAAGTACACGACCCTCCCACTTAACCTTAGCATTTATTTTTTCTCATTTCCCATTTTGCCACTTCACCTTGCCCCCTTCTTTTTAGAGTACAATGTATTGTAAGTATAATTGAAACGTTTTAAAAGTTTTTAATTAATCATTATCTAATATAGTTTTATACGAATTTTACTCATTTTTTTCCCTTGAAATCTTGTTAAAAAAAACTATAATTTATAATTTTTTAAAACTTATATTATCAAACTATAAACATAAAATTTACCATAATATTAAATATATACTTAATAGTAAAAGCATTTTTTGCTTTTCTCTTTGCAACCATATTGACGTGGTATTAGTGGGAAGGGTAAAAGTAACTGTATATAATAATTCATCGAATAAAAATTTTATTTTATGGGTTTTAGATTGATTTTGATTTTATCATGAATTATTAAAATATAAGTTTACATGAAGATGATATTAGAAATGATGATGTAATTTATATTATTAAATTTAAATTTTATTAACTTGTTTTATTATTTCATTCAAATCTAGTAATTTAATAATAATATCGATATTTGATTTTAGACACATTCTAAAATTGGTGTATAATTTTAATATGATGATGCAAGTCATATTAAGACTTTTTAAAAAGATAATTTTAAAAACATTGTTTAACATGATTTTAAATATTATTTGAAAGTTTGATAACTTTTTTTGGATATTTTTTAAAAGTATATTTATTTTAGAAAAAAACTATTAAATTGATTTTTTTAAAGTTTTTTTAATTGATTTTGATGTGTTAATGTTAAAAATAAAATATTTTTTTTAACAAAATACTGTATATATTTGATTGAAGGAAAACGGGTTGAATAGGAAATTCAACAATAAAAGGAATTTAATTTAATCGCATAAAAATCAATGATCAAAATAACACCATAAAACCTAATGTAGTCATTTCACCTTCACAAGTCTTCTTCTCCAAGCCCAAGTACAACAGAAACTCCCCCAGCTCAACCACTGTTTTCTGTTAACCGTTACCCATCATAGAATCTTCCCTTAAACTCCACCAAAAAAACCCATTCCTCTCAAAATCTTTTCACATTCCTTTCCACCAATTTTCCACTCTCAAATCCATGAAAACCGCCAAGAAAACCACTTGCAATTGCAACCCCTTTGATTTTCTCACTGAAGAGATCATCTTTACAATCCTTGACTATCTTAACGATGACCCTTTTGCTAAAAAGTCATTTTCTTTAACCTGCAAAGCCTTTTACTCCATTGAATCTCACCATAGAAAGGCCCTTAAGCCACTTAGAGCTGAGCTTTTATCAAGAACCCTTCATAGGTACCTTCATATTGAACATCTTGATCTAACTGTTTGCCCTCGCATTGAAGACAGCATGTTAAATGTTGTTTCATTGGTATGTAAGGATGCTTTGTGTTCCATAAACCTGTCAAGATCAAGGTTTTTTACTAATATTGGATTGTCAAGTTTGGTTTCAAATTGTTTCAATTTGGTTGAGATTGATTTGTCAAATGGGGTAGAGTTGAATGACATGGCTGCTGCTGCAATTTCTGAGGCTAAGAATTTGGAGAAGTTGTGGCTGGCCAGATGTAAGTTGATTACTGATCTGGGGATTGGGTGTGTTGCTGTTGGCTGTAGAAAGTTGAGGTTGATTAGCTTGAAATGGTGTTTGAAGATTAGTGATCTTGGTGTGCAGTTGCTTGCTTTGAAATGTAAGGAGATTAGGAGTCTGGATCTCTCTTACCTACAGGTAATTCATGTTTTTTATTTGTCTATTTTAGTTTCTGTTCTCTGTCTGTTTTCTAAGAAACATTAAGGAAAGAGAAATTTATCAACAGCTTCTTGTTGAATTGTTGTTTGTTTCTGATTTCTTGAATAATTTAGCTTTATTGAAGTTATTATTAGGACATGACATGCTTTGATGTTGTTCTGTTGTGTAATTGTGGCTGTTTTATTTCCAATATGATGTCACCATGTTTAATTTTTCTTGGATTTAGGTATTGAATTAGAATTCAACTTTAGCTATGTGCTTTATTGCTACTTGAGATTGAAATTGAAGTTTGGCTTTTTGATCTTCTTTTTTTTGTACCCTGCAGCTGCATCTAGGTGCATTGTTTCTGTTTAGGGCACTACTCAACTCCATTATTGGGCAAATTCCAATGTCAGTGGGAATAGGATTTCACTTTATTGTCCTAGATTTTTTGTTAAGAACTACGTTGGACAGGCAGTGTTCCTGAAAAGTTGACTCAAGTGATTCATGGATTTTAAGATTGATTAAGGTTTGATTTATGTAATTTTTACAGGATTAGTTTATCCCCGGTGATAGTTTGTCTGAAGTCATCCATTTGTTTCTTCAGCTATGCTATGTGGTGGATAATTACTTGTAGAGAGGCTTAATGGTTGTTGACCAAAACTTAGTTAATAAAGTTGCATGAGATATGAAATGCAAGAAAATGTAGTCAGAAAGGGAGTATTTCTTGGTAAAATTTGCCCTCCACTGTACAGTGTTATATGTTGGATTAATGCCCGATTAATTTCCCATGTTCTAATTTATTAGCTGACAATAGTTTTCTTTCTGATAGTAGATAAAATGCAATGCAGGAAATTCTGAGAACTCTAAGAAATTTTAACTTTTTTTGCAGATTACAGAGAAATGTCTTCCATCTATTTTGCAATTGCAGCATCTTGAAGATCTAGTTCTTGAGGGATGCCTTGGTATTAATGATGATGGCCTCTCTACTCTCCAACAGAGTTGCAAGTCACTCAAGGTACCCTTACATAATAAATTATTGCTACACTGTTGGCAGAGTTGCAAGCTTTGATGTTGTTTGTTGGCTTCTTTACATAGATTTTGTTTTGAATTCATATAAGAGCATGACGTGTGAATTCCAGATTGAATGAATAATTGGAATTCTTTTGTTCACGCAACTGATGCACAAAATTCTTACTATACTGCATTTTGCTGCACATAACGTGTATGGTGTTTCATATTCAATTGACAATTTCTCTAATTTTGCAGACACTTAATATGTCCAACTGTCATAATCACAGTCATGTGGGTTTGTCGTCTCTGATAAATGGTGCTGAAAATCTACGAGAACTTACTTTAGCTTATGGCCCTTCTGTAAGTCTGGTATCTTTAAGCACAAAAAATTCCTGGAAACTCTGATACATATAGATTGATCATTAATACTTGATGATGGTTCAGGTAACTGCAGATCTGGCAAAATGTTTGCTTAACTTTTCAGGGTTGCATTCTGTTAAGTTTGATGGCTGTTTGGTTAAATGTTTCGGTATTAGAGCCATTGGAAGTTGGCCTAACTCACTCAAGGAATTGAGCTTCAGTAAGTGCTCAGGGGTCACAGATGACAGTCTATCCTTCTTAGTGCAACAACACAAAGAATTGAGGAAGTTAGATATCACATGCTGTCGCATGATAATGTATGACTCTGTAGACAACATAACAAGCTCATGCCGTTCTCTCACTTCCCTCAGAATGGAGTCCTGTAGCCTGGTTCCCAAAGAAGCATTTGTCTTGTTTGGACAGCGTTGTCAACTTATGGAGGAATTAGATGTCACAGATACCAAAATTGATGACGAAGGTTTCAGCTTTGTTATCCTTATGCCCTTCGAACAAATTTTATATTTGAGTAATTGATTAAGCTACTATTGTGCAGGTTTGAAGTCCATCTCAAGATGTTCCAAACTTTCAAGTTTAAAGTTGGGCATTTGCATGAACATAACCGACAATGGACTAAAACATATTGCAAGCAGATGTTCAAGGCTAAAAGAGCTTGATTTGTATCGGTTCGTGACTTTCAATGTCTGCATAATTCTACCATGTTTAAACCATAAGAATGTCTTGAGAACCCTGTCGGTACTCAGAATGGAATCCATGACGATCAAATTCCACCGTATCTTTAACCTGAGTTCATTGCATTTTAGATTTCAGCTTACCTTGTACCTTTGACTCTGTTCAGTATTATTGATTGTGTTTTGATTCTTTTTTTTTTCGGTAGGTCATTGGGAATAAGTGATGAGGGCATTGCAGCAGTTACTTTTGGATGTCCTGATCTGGAGGTCATTAACATAGCTTACAATGATAAAGTTACAGATGCTTCATTAATATCATTATCAAGATGTTCAAGGTTAAGAGTGCTTGAGATCAGAGGATGTCCTCATGTCTCATCAAAAGTTATATCGGCTATTGCTGTCCGATGTAGGCAACTCATGGTGCTGGACATTAAGAAGTGCTTCAATATCAATGATAATGCAATGCTCTCACTTGCTCAGTTTTCCCAAAACCTCAAACAGGTAATACACTTGTCTGGTGACCGAAAACTTTAAAATCAATCTTAGGCTAATGATAGCTGTTCATTCCATATGTTGCAGATAAACTTGTCGTATTGTTCGGTAACAGATGTTGGCCTTTTGGCACTAGCCAGCATGAATCGCCTTGAGAACATAACTGTGTTACACTTGGGAGGATTAACTCCAAATGGCTTGGCAGCTGCTCTATTAGCTTGTAGAGGAATAACTAAAGTGAAGCTACATGCTTCCTTCAAACCATTAATTCCTAAATCCCTTCTCGATTACATCGAAGCCCATGGCTGTGTATTTCACTGGAGAGATAAAGCATTCCAGGTCTGAGTACCCTCCTTTCTAGCTAGTCATCATTGCATACACAATATGAAATTCAAGAAATAATTTATACCTTTCCAAATGATTTATAGAACTCCACTAACATGCTTGCGAAGACTTGGTCCTGGAATCTCTTTGCCATCAATCTTATGTTGATTGCTGACTTCCTGCTAGCTTCTAGAGAAAATGACCCCCACATAGATAATGATCAGTTGGCCTATGAAATTTTTACTCTGGGCAATCCTTTGACAACAAAGCTGACAAAATGTCAACCCCAAATGCTGAATCATATTGCTCATGACTCTTTTTTTTTATCCCATTTTTTTAATATGGTTGACACCTGGCAGGTGGAGATGGATCCAAAGGGATGGAAGTCACATTTTTGGGAAAGTGCTGAAGCTCCCTAACCTGTGGACGAGAATATACTGTTCTTTTTGTGAATGGAAAAGGTATATTCATCAACTTGTGTCTCTTTGCTTTTATAGAAGAACGGAGTCTTTAGCAGAAAGGGATCACATGTTTGTCCTTTTCTGGTGGGGACACCGGACCCTATATGTTCACACTTGTGTCTGAGAGTAACCCGGCCCGTTGATTTTTGGTTGAGTAATTAAGCTTTAGTTTATGATTTTTGGTTCAAATTATTTAAATTGCTTTTTGGTAGGAACCCAATATGTTCACATCATTTTCTTTTGCTGCTTTTTTTTTTTCTTTTTGCTTTTTGGTAGGAAAGGTGGAATGAAGAAAGAAATGGGGGCTTGAAATTGAAGTTATTAAACTTCATCTGCAAGTTGATTTTGAAAAAGGATCAAGTCAATATTTTTTAAAATAAAAAGTTAAAACAATATCTTTTAAATTTTTTTAAGTTAATAAATTTTGATCAGGGTCAACTATATTGGAAACTAACTCAAATTTTTGTCTACTAATTATAGAATATTGTCTACTAATTATATCGAGTTTAATAAATATACTAAAAGTTATTCAATTTTGCTTCCTATGTATCTCAATGTATTTATGACTTCTTCATTTAGGCTAATTTCGTGACATTTTCGGCCATGCAATGCTCTCCTCCCTAGCCGCCTTGACAAGAAGATACAATCAAGCTTGGCTCCTCATGGTTTGTGAAGGTAAGTCATTGCTGGCTTCAAGCTTAGTCAAATGATATCATTTCAAACACCCAGCAGTCTTTTCAAGGAGTTGTAAATTTTTTATAAGAATTTTATTGCCTTGTTGAAGCTACCTAAGTCATGTCAAATGACACTCCACAACTCCCTCCAGCCATTTAATGCTAGGGAAGTAGCGAATATAGAGAATTATCTCGAGACCCCTTAACATGGAAGGTGTTTGCAGATGATATTCCTGTTTTGGCGTCGGCATAAACCTCCACTGTATAGTCATTATAAGCTTGCATATGCCCAATGGTTGGCCTTTTAGAGGTCCCTGAATTTCTTACTTTGACCAAAATACATCCAATTCAGAAGAGGGCATGACACGAGGTAACTCTCATTTTCATAAAATTTGACTATGATCAAAATACATCCAATTCATAATAGTGTTTTTAATTCCCGTTCAGACAAGGCAGAGTCTTAAATTAAATGATATGAAAATTATTATAGTTCAAGATGATCGACCTTGGTTTTTTTAAAAATTTAAAATGATATTATTTTAATTTTATTTTAAAAATATCTTAAAATAATATCATTTTAAATTAATTTATAACAATCTAGTTACGCAATTTATATATATTAATTATGGAGATAAGATTGAAAGGGTAACCCGTATAATTTGTGATGCAAGCCTAGAGCCGAGTTACGTACCAAACCAAATTTAATAACAATGCAAATGCTTGGTGTCCTGGTTGAATAGAATGAGAAAGGGGCGTTGCATCCAATACTTGTGGAATAATAAATTTTAGTTGCCCTAGAAGACCAACCAGGTTGACAAAATAATAATTGTGCCTTTCTTTCGTGTTTTATTCATTCATTATCTATAATTTATAATAACTAAAAAAAAAAAAAACAAACATGGTGACTCACTAATAAAATTGAATTATAACACCCAAGAAAGATCCTTGTAATTAACTCTCTCTTTTTTAATTGAATCCAAGATAATAAATTTGAATTTTTTTTTTACCAATTAAATATTGTGATGTATGATACTTTGTAAAAATAATTTTTAGTTAGAAATAATCAAAATAGTTATATATATATATATATATATATATTAGCATATGAAAATTATAATAAAATATAAAAAATATCAATTTAGTATTTTTAAATAATAAATGTATTTTTAAAATATATTTAAACACAGAAATAGAAATGCCCTCGCAATCCGAGCCGAGAGTCGTCGAGAAAGAATGGGTGATACGAGGCGTGCTGAAAAATGCATTCAAAATTCCAAGTCTTGCACATTCCCTTGTCTCATTGGGAGACCTCAAAAGGACCCCACCACAAGGTCACTTTCGTCCTATAACTTGGAGGATAAATACAAAATATATGAAATAAATGGACAGGTCTGTAATCTGCCTGTAGAGAAGAACGAAGCTGTAGCTGCCCCATAGAACACGTTATGTACGGAAGAGGAAAACACGCATCTTCTAGAAATGCCCTTCCACCAAAACACAACATACAGGAGTTAATAACGGCTTGCATTAGATCGTGATAGATCCCTTCTTGTCACAAGGCACACCCGTGATGGATCCCTTCGTGATATATATATATATATTCCATCTTAAAATTACAGTACATGCTCAAAGTTCTCAGTGTCCCTTGCACTATTTAGCTACATACAAATTATTGTAAATTAAAACGGTATAATACTAGAATTGTTCTTACCAAAAAAAACTCGTTAGACATATAGTTAGAGATAAGATTATTTTTTTCATGAAATATATTTAGTATTGAAAGAATCATTAGGGATAAAATGATTTTTTTTTATTTTTTTGCTACAATATAGATGCTGATTTATCTTTTAAAAAATAAAATTTTAACCTTCAAATTAAGAGGTTTTTGAAATAGTTCAAAAAACAATAAACAATGAGAATCCAACCATGCCTATGAAGGGTTTCATCATCTTGTTTTATTTTATTATTATTGAAATAGTTCAAATATAAAATTGCCTTTGAGTTTTAACAAAAACAAGGCTACATATAGAGGTATTTTTGTTGTTTTCATATGCTTACCAAACCTAAACATTCTAATTTAAAAGTTAAGTTTAAGTATGTGGGTCTGAAGTGATTGTCAGATCCAAGAGCATGGGTCTAACAACCATATCAGACTCACGCTACTTGAATCTATCAAAAATATCAAACACACGTTATTTGAATCTAAAAACCATTTTAGACTCGTGAGCTTAATATCAAATTTAGACATTTTAGATCTGACATTATTGTCATATTCAAACGCTTTAGGTGAGATATGGTTATCATAAAAATATAAATTTAAATAATGTAATTAAAAAGAAATAAAGTGACATGACTAAAAAAACAAAAATAAATAAACAAAATCTCCTCTCTTTTATTTTATTTAGAGAGTTTCTTTTAAATAATATTAATTTTTTTTGTTATGCATTTAATTTTTGGAGAGGTTTTTTGATTTATTTAAGGTTTTGTTTTTATCTTTTATATTGATAAATTATGTTTTTGAAAATAAAAAATATTTATTTTTAGATGATATTTTTAATATATATAGCTGTACATGTTATTTTTTTTCC